AAAAAAAAAAAAAAAAAGTGTAGAAGGAAAATACCAACATAACTACTATTCAGTTTCTAGCAGTAAGACAAATAAAAACATATATTATCACCCATGATCAGTTTGGCTGAAAATTTCAAGTCCTTTGGGACAAACTGGTAGTTTCTTTTTGAATTAACAATTAAAAAGCTGATCGGGAAATTTTTTTTTTTTCTGAAAGCCTTTTCAGACCCACTCAAGCACAGGGCACCAGTCGCTGCTCACACCCCCCGGGACGCTGTGCAAAGGATGTCGTCACACGGCTGCAGGCCTGCCGAGCCAAGGGCTCCGCGGACGTGCTCACACGGAGAAGTGCGGGGCAGGACGGCACAGAGGAGCGACCAGCGTCCCCAGGTACAGCAGCACGCAGATCCAGCAGGAGGCCATCTTGACCCAGAAGATGGACCAGCTCCCGCTGAAGAAGGCTTCGATGTGGGCGCTTTCGTAGCTGTGGAGACAAGAGACCCAGCTGTGGTTGGAGCAGGAACAGCAGGGGGAGGTCTAGTTCATTGTCTCCCTGCTTCCTGTCCCATCCCCCCAGCCTTTCTTTTTCCTTAACAACTCAATCGTGACATAATTCACACCCATTGCAGTACACAACTCAATGGCTTTTAATATGTGCCTGGGTAGACGTGTGCAGCTGTCACCACAATCCATCTTAGAACGTTCTCGTCACCGCAGGGAGAAATCCTGCACCCCTTAGCTGCCCTCCTCTTCCCACTCCCCCATCCCCCTGCATTCACCAACCTAATCTACTTTCTGTCTCTATGGACTTGCCTATTTTGTACAGTTGATATAAAAGGAATCATGTGACCTCTTATACCTGGCTTTTTCTACTTAGCAAACTGTTTTCAAGGCTCACCCATGTAGTAGCACGCATCAGTACCTCATTCTCTTTTACTGCTCCATTGCATGGATATAGCACGTTTTGTTTATCCATTCACCAGAGGATGGACATTTGAGTTGTCTCTACTTTTTGGTCATTATGAATAATGCCGCTAGGAGCATTAATGTATAAGTTTTTGTGCAGACGTATTTTTCTTTTTGTCCTGGGTATATATACTTAGGAGTTGGATCGCTGAATCATACTGCAACTCTGTTTAACTGTTTAAGGAACTGCCAAACTATTTTCCAAAGCAGCTTCATTTTACATTCCTACCAACAATGTAAGAGGGTTTGAATTTCTCAACTCCTTTGACGTTTGTCATCATCTGCCTTTTTAATTATAGCTCCCTCCAGCCAATGAAGTCTTCCCCAGTCACTGTGTTGAAACTGCCACCCCCACCATCCCACCCTGCTGTGAATTCCTCCTTCCCCTTCCTCATTTTATTTTTCTCCCCAGTACTCACCACCATCTGACACACTGTACTTGATTTGAGTCAGTCTGTCTCTCCCACTGGACTATAAGCCCTGCCACCTAGAACAGTGAGGCATGTAAGGAGCCACTGCACACGTGATGAATGAATGAATAAAGGAAAGCACAATGGGTCTAAATGGCTACACCTAACTTATCAGTCAAACAAATTATCATATAACTCAAACTCTAGATGTGTAGAAAAAGTATAAATCTCTGTGTAGTGACAGGGAAAGCCAGGCCCATCAGGCACTGCCAAGTTAAAAAAAACAACAACAAAACTTCAAGAGGGAAAACATGTGTAATGTCGTTTGTGTAAAGAAAATTCCACAGGCTTGTAAATGCATAGAAAAGGAATGGAAGGATACACACCATAGCAGTGGTTATCTGAATATGTGTGGGGGTGTCAGTTTGTCACTTTCCATAATTCCACATTGGTTCATTTTATTAAAAAAGATGTTTCAACTTTGTAATGAAAATGTAGGAAAAAAGAGACACACAAAATTTAAAGTAGGGAAAAAAAGGGATATTTTCTCTTTCTTAGAAGCACATGATTGCTTAGGAATGCCACATTTTTGCTCCATCACTATTACTATGTTTTCCAGAGTGTCCATATAGAGCTCACCTTCCATTTTCTTGAAGTTGAAGTAAGCATCACCAATGTCCAGAGTTAAAAACATGCCAATCAACTGTTAAGAACTCAGAACTGTTTCCTGGAAAGGTTGTGAGTGCAACAGAACTGAGATAAGATTCAGTTGATTCCAGGAAATATGCTAAATGTCACAGCACTTTATTCCTTTTAGAGATGGGATCTCACTATGTTGCCCAGGCTGGTCTCAAACTCCTGGCCTCAAGCGATCCTCTCACCTCAGCCTCCCAAGTCTTTGGGAATACAGGTGTAAGCCACCACACCCAGCCTGTTTTAGCACTTTAAAGTGATAGAGAAAAGGAAAACTCCACTAAGCTAAACCCCTCCCCAAGAACAACCCGCTATATAACTGCTAAACTGCCTCCGCTTTGCTTCTGTAAACTGCTTGCAGCAACTTCTGTCATGGTAAGATAAGACAGGAAGAAATTCCATAGAAATGCCATGCCAGGAACTGGGCTCGCTCAAGACCCTATCCCACTAAAGATAACCACATTGTAACTGTGCCCTGCACTCTCCCAAAACAAAATGTATGAAAGACTGCTACACTCTCTGTTCGGGGCTCAGAATTTGGTGGCAAGCCCCCTCTGAGCCTGCTGGCATAAATAAACCTGGTTCTCTCCACCCTTTTCGTGCCATTCGGTTTGTTTTCGGTCAGCTTTGCTGTAACAAAAGAACAGTACTCTTAAGGCTGTCCCATCAAAAATGTCTAAGCAAAAGGCCACTCACTTGAACCAGCTGGTGATGGTCATCATCACATAGAGAGAAGCCAAGAAGAACACGAAGTGGAAGTAGGAATAGTTATAGACGGTGCCTCTCTTCTCGTCGTAAATGACTCGTGGTCCCTCCTTTACCTGCTGCTGCTCTTCAGTGTCTGTGAATCACAGAGGAAGCCCAAGTTCAACAAGAGAACACACGTGAACTGAACCGCTTAGCAAAGCCACACTCACCAATTCAATCTCAGGTGCTGTTGAGTAGAAAAGATGTCAAAAAGCTACTTGTACACTTAGGCAACTTATATCTGTCCCATGAGCACAAAACTCCACCCTACTCCAGTAACTTCTGTAACAGGGTAAGTTACCTAATGTCACATTTATTTTAACACAGCAGAAGGAAGAGAGCCTTAAAAGACATAAAACTTATTATAAACCTAGCAGAAAGTGAGCGTAGACCAAGAATTTTCAAGCTCTTAGAATCCGTGGAATCCTCTAATCCAAGAAGAAAAGTAAGTTGAAGGAAAGAAATGGCCCCAAAATATTATTCTGAGGACACTGTGGTATTTTCCAAATTATCCCTTTAAATAAAAGAGTACGTTTGCTTCTTCTAGGTCTCAATGTATAATTTAACTTAAATATGAGCCAAAATATAGACTCACTTTCCTTGCCAGAATACCAAAACAAACAAACAAAACCCTACTACCCCTGAGGAAGAATGTGAAAGGCATATACACAGTAAACCAGTTTGGGAATAAAAATTTTTCCTTACTATTCAACTTATTTGTGTCTGACTCCCAACTGCCTACAGACTGGAGCTGCAGGTCTGCAGGACCACACAGATGCAGAGAATAAAAGCGCTCTGCTTACCTTCTCCACTGGGATCGAAGCAAAAACAGCACCGAGCTATCTGCAAAAGCAAAAGAGACAGAGTCAGGCAGCTTGTTTTAAGTTCCCTCCCCGCACATCAGTAAGGTACAAGGGGCCACCTGCCTGCCACACCTTCCCTATTCTAGCCACATCCCACGCCCTGAACTGCACACTTTATTCCTTCAAGAGGTTATGACTAAGCATCTGTTCTTTCTCAGACGTGCTAGGTGCTGGTGACAGGAAATACCATGAATGGAGATGTGCCACTGGGTCCCCTTCAAAGGACGTGGAGCTCGCTCCTGCTGGGAACAGAGCCTCCAGACATCAGCGCCTTCACCCTTCCTGGGTAACCCCCATAGACTGGCTGATGACACTGAGATAAAGGCCCAACCACTCTGACCCCCTGGGGGGAGCAAAGCTTTGTCTGGCCTGCACCATGCACTGATTCCTAATAAATATCCTGCCCAACTAGCTCTGCCTGGGCGCCTGCTTCTGCAGAACTGAACGTGGAACACACAACGAGCACAAGGGCTGCTCTCCTGGCACTCGCTGCCCCCCCAGGCATTGCTTTCCATGCTGCTTCATGAAATCCTCTTCAACCTCTCAGGCTGGGATTACTATCCTGTCTACAGTTGAGGAAACAGAGGTCAGGTAGGCTAAATAATTGGCCAAAGTCACCAGAGTAGCTTAGTGACAGAGGTGGGACACATCAATGCAGGATGGGGACTCTTGAGGTCCATGATTCGCAACTGGTGACACATGGTAACCAGGAAATGGTGAAGCCGACAGAGCCCGGCACGGTGAAGCCAAGGAATGTGGAAGCAGGACGCCTGCCCACATTTCCCATGAAAACCCACTGCTGCGCTGGCCGGGCACAGGGATGGACAGGATGCCTTTGAAGCACCTTTGGTACCTTTCGAATTTCATTTCCTTATTTCTTACCTACTCAAAACAGTGAACTTAATTTTTAAAAATCAGGTTATGAAAAATTAGTTCACGATTCCAGAGGGACTCTGGCAAACAGAGTAAGAAAAGTACCACGTACCAAGACAGTCTGGGAAGTACTGGGTCCTTGGCACTTTCTGGCTGAAGACATTTGAACTGCAGAGCAGAGAGCCTGGGACGGGGATATGGCAGCTGAGCCCTCATCCGATTTGCACCTCAAGGCCAAGCCCCCGTTTCCCTGCTTATACTAGAGGAAACTTATACTAGAGGTTTTAGCCTTGACAGGGCCTTGGGTCAAGTGGCACAGTCGAAAAATCACAGATTCATTCAGTGGGACCAAGACATGGTATGCTGGGGTCCCAGTTCCTTTGAAGCTTAGGCTGCCACAAGAAACTAATAACTCTCCCTTTCAAAGGTGTACCCTGTGGAACGTGACGCAGGAGAGCACAGCGACTTCCTCCCTCCATACTCTCCGGTTCAGAAGGAAACACTGGGACGTTTTTCCCTGGACTGAGAAGAAAAACATCCTCTCTTAAATCTAACTTAGCAACTTGCTGTGCTTTGAGCTTGAACTCTGTACACAATAGGGACATTGAAACCGTAACCGTCCAACCTCAGCAGGTGGTCACCCAGCGAGTGGTGAGAACAAACGCCTGCCTTCTAGAGACCATTCCCTTCTGCATAACAGGCAGTAACGAATTCAAACTCAGCACAGTTTTCTCCTTGAGGGGACAGAAAGGGCTGGTGAATGACGCTGGCAGACTGACAAACTTAGATAATGGCTCCCTATCTCCAGGTCAGGTGCGGAAGACCATCCCCCACACCCAGCTGCGGAGTAAACTGCCCATGCCTGGACTGATACCAGGGTTCTTCCATCCAGAGAAAGCTGTTAGGATGCAGCCGGCGGCCAGACGCCACGCCAGGTCAGCAGCGAAGGTCAGGGCACAGCCCCCAAGCCCCTGGGCAGCTGTGGTCAAGAACACAGACTCTGGGGCTGAAGTGTACGGTCTCTACCCTGGCAAATTGGAACCTGCAAAGTTTAAATGACTTAACTTTTCTGTTTTTCTCCTCTTTAAAACAGAGATAATACCATGTTTCCCCGAAAATAAGACAGGGTCTTATATTTATTTTTCCTCAGGAAGACACCCTAGGGCTTATTTTCAGGGGATGTGTTATTTTTTTTAAGTACGGTACAACAATCTACATTTATTCAAATATAGTTAAGTCATCTTCTTCTGGAACATCATCATAACTCTCCAAACCCCGAATTCCATCCTGAATTTCTTGCGACTCTATTTCCTTTAGAACCATTGGCCCCAATCGCTCATGTCGAGGAACAGAGCTCTCAGTAAATGAGCAGGGCTGCCTTATTTATCAGAGATCTGGTGAGCACTGGGTCCAGTCAGCACAGTGGAGCAGAAATGCTCTCTCTAGGCTCAGCAGGAGGCTGCTTGCTGAAGCTTTTCCTCTATGCCCTGGTGTTTGTGGGGGGTGAGACAGTCCCACAGTGATGAGTACAATGGCAGCCACAGCTTTCCTTCTTCCCCCTGGGGACACATAATACCTAAAGTGGAACGTCCCAGTCCTCACTTCACTCAGGAGACTTTCCCCTCAAAGCCTCAGCTTGCAGCACGCACAGGATGGCCGGGACCTGACAGGGCAAGCTGACCTTGTTGGTGGGGCTGCCCGCACCTTTCCGGTCACCTCTGGGACAGTAGCTGTCACGATGGGGTAGACGAGAAGGGCTGCTGGTCTTCTTTACCGCTACATGACGAAATGCATGGGTTGTGCAGATACGCTGCGTAGCCACGCTCATCACTAGGTCTTATTTTCAGGGTAGGGCTTATATTGCACAAATGATTAGAAATCATGCTAGTGCTTATTTTATGGGTAGGTCTTACTTTCGGGGAAACACGCTAGCACCTCCCTGGGTTTTGATGAGGATTAAATGAAGTCACGTATGAAGAGCCTAGAAGCATGCCAGCACATGGCAAGTGCTATAACTCTTAGCCATTGCTGGAACCCCTGGTTCTTTCCATTCTTGGGTCCGGGCTGAGGCTTTTCCTGGCTTCCTCCATTGAATTAGACCTTTCTCACCTTGGAGGATGGTCCATTGAGAGCCCCAGGGAGACTTTTGCACAATTAACAAAATAACAAACATTTCATTGGCCGGGCGTGGTGGCTCACGCCTGTAATCCTAGCGCTCTGAGAGGCTGAAGCAGGTGGATCGCTCAAGGTCAGGAGTTTGAAACCAGCTCTGTGCAAGAGCGAGACCCCATCTCTACCAAAAATAGAAATAAATTAATTGGCCAACTAAAAAAAATATATATATATACATAAAAAATTAGCCGGGCATGGTGGTACATGCCTGTAGTCCCAGCTACTCGGGAGGCTGAGGCAGAAGGATCGCTTGAGCCCAGGAGTTTGAGGTTGCTGTGAGTTAGGCTGACGCCACGGCACTGTAGCCCAGGCAACAGAGTGAGACTCTGTCTCAAAAAAAAAAAAAAAACCACACAAAAAAAGCCAGACATTTCATTGACCAACAGGCATCAGCTGAACATCCTGATTCTTTGGATGTACAGGTGGGGCCTGAAACCATCTTTACCCTGTGAAACGCCCACCTGATGAAACTGACAGACAGTTAAAGGAATTAATGTACCTACAGTGTTCAGCTCAGGATCTGGCACAGAGCAGATCCAGTTCCCACCCTTCCTGCCTTTCCCTCTACCTTCTGAACAGCTGTTACATAATCTCACAGCCATGCTATGTATGGAGAGCACGGACAGGTATAAACAGATGAACAGACTAGAAATAAACCCACACACACTCCATTATGACAGAGGAAGAGAACACGGTGGCAGCCTGACAAGGTCACCCAAGCCTCTGGAAGGGAGTGGGCAGCAGGATGCCACACAATAGGCCAGCTTTGCCGGAGGAAAATCAAGAATCAACTGATTCATTTTAATCCCACAGTATACATAGGAAAACATTTCTTTTTCAATACCAAAACTTTCTTTCTTGAGCAGAAAAACAGGATCATGGTGTGCAGACGGTTAAGACACAAATAAACACAAAAGGTCCTCCTGCGAAATGGGTCTCTTGAAATGAAGCAGGACAGGAAAAGGAAATGAACTTACTTCCAGTTCAGGAGCTGCGTAGCGCCCCTGCAGGGCATCAGAACTTGATCTCGTTGTGGATGTCAAACTAAGAAACAAACAAAAAGTCAGCAGGGTTTATTAATGTTGTTGTATCACATGGACTAAGGGTACAGCTGGGTGGCCAGTGCTCCAATGAGAGGCTCACTGTAACCTACAGTTCAGGCTGACTGAATAAAAGCAGTCTATTCCAATATCCCACTTTATTCCCAACCAGCTGGCTGATTCTACAGTTGATGTCTTTTTACATGGATTGCATCAGATCATTTTACGCAAAGAGAAGTTTGTAGGTAGCAAAGTAAGATGGGTTTTGGTCCCATATCTTGGTTTTCAGTATTGGTTGTTGCCTCTCCTCCCTCAAATGCAGTAATAGTTTTCTAATTTCACTTTATCTTTCCCTCCCTTTGAGGGAATCAAAAGCAATGAGAGAGGCCAGAGATGGCAAGAGAAAGCAGGAGCACGAAAGCAAAGGTCATGGTTATTTATTGTGACCGCCTATGGCACCACAAGGCTTTCTGTTTAGAAATTTAACATAGAGTAGCTGTCAGTGTGATAAAAAGAAATTCTTCCTGTCATTATTCCCATACCTAGAGAGGTAAAATGTTAGAAAATTTGGCTTAAGGGGGTAAAATAATTTATTTTTCCTAAAAATAAAAACATGGCAACATTTTAAGCAAGTAGAAATATATACAAATCTTAGGGTTCCAGCCACCTTTATAGATGCATTTAGCAAATGTTTGCTGGAAGGCTACTATGTGTCAGGCCTGTTCTAAGCACTGGGGATTCACTGGTGAGAGGGGTAGCAACCCCACCCTCATGCAGCCTCTGAGCTTCCTGGACAGGCCAGGCAGTGTTGGTGCTCTGGAAGCTGGTCTGCTGGTGGACATTCATCTCAACCAAATGAACCTTGAGGGGCAACACAGCCTTCTCTGTGTGTTCTCGTCTACTTTCCCAGGAAGGGAAGAGATCGGTGAGATGTACAAAAATGATAAGAAGCCTTCCTTACAAAGAGGTCCACTGGGATCCAAGCACATCTGTTCTCTTATGGTCCGCTCAAGTACAACAGATTCCTTTCATTTCGGCTTTGAACTGATGGATGCTAATCTAGGACCTTTCCAACTGCGAGCCTGGTCAGAGAAATGACAGCAACATTTCCCAGTGGCTGTGCCCCCAAGGAACAGATATGTGCTGCTGCATTTAAGAGCAGCCCATGTTTTGTGAATACAAGTTATCATTCAGTAGAATATATGCCCGGGGAAAACATTTTTCCATAAGGAAAACTGTTAACTTTTAGTTTTAAGAAGAGATCGGTATCTGAAAGTTTCATCTGAAAGATGGCATTCATTCTTTAAAGTAGAGTTAGAATAAATATTCCATTTTATAAATTCTTTGGATTAAAATGGTTTCCAAAAAACAAAGTTTTTTATTCTGGCTCCTTTTCTACTTTACTTCACTATCAAAGGGCACTAAAATGGGGAACATTTTGTTTTTATTTCTAAAACTATCTATATTCAGTTTATCACTAGTGCCATGTGACTTCTACAAATAGATGTTACCCTAAATTTAAGGTCTTTATTCAATCATAGCCTTTCCCCATGAAACACTCTTCTTGGAATTATCAAGAAAAGATTTGTTTTATAAGCTCTTTAAGGCTAGGAAATTCTCATTGTCTGCAATCCAGCTATTATTACAAAGACTATCTGTGTGCTGTTTGACATAGAACAAATTGCTATAAAACAATTCCTGGGTCATCCATAACTTCTCTTCCGGGGCTAAGGTATGTGTGACTTTAACTCAGAACTTCCCATGGGGGCAGGGGGAGACTAACAGCATTGGGTTGGGACGATACTTTATCATGGGGACAACATCTAACACACTGCAGTGTGTTTACTGTCTCTGGGCCCCTCCCACAAAATGCCAGCTATGTCTTGCTGTCACTGTGACAATGGGGAAAAAAAAAAGCATCTCCCTTTCCCCACCTGAAACACTGTGGACCCCGAGCCCCTTCTGTATTGGCAGAATGGGGCACAAGTCAGGTGCCACTCAGCACCTGCGCTGCAGCTGCTTTTGGAGCTTGGTTGAATCACAGAAAATCTCTAAAGAACATCTACAAACCTTCCTGTTAGACATAAAAGATTCTGCCTCCCTGACAAGCTTACAGGGCAAGCACTTGATAGATCTCATGACTATTCCCAGCCTTACTGTGATGAAGCTCAATCATGTTCCCACTGCGCTATACAATCAGTGACTCACAGCCCCCAAAGAGGACCCAAGTTCTGTGTGAATGGGGGTGGGGGTGGGGAAGGCACACCACGCTACTGATGCGGAGCCATGGAGATTTCTAGCTGGCAGGTCAGGCAGGGGCAGGATTGCCAAAGTGAGGAAACAAACCTCTCCGTTACATTTTTTCTCTTAAAGCAGCAGGCCCAGAACATACCAAAAGAATGAACATCTCTCCTTGATTTTCCAATTTTTCTCAGTTTAAGCCAATCTTCTCTGCAACATCATCATAACAACCTTGTACCTAATTCTACATGGCCTGCTGTGCAGCTGCAAATATCCCATTTTGAACTAGGGAGCTGTCTGGCATTTAGTAAAGATTGGTAGTTATTCTAATTTTATATTCAAAAAGATGGCTGGGCGCGGTGGCTCACGCCTGTAATCCTAGCACTCTGGGAGGCTGAGGTGAGCAGATCCTGAGCTCAGGAGTTCGAGACCAGCCTGAGCAAGAGCGAGACCCCGTCTCTACAAAAAAAGGGAAAGAAATTAGCTGGACAACTAAAAATATATAGAAAAAATTAGCTGGGTATGGTGGCACATGCCTCTAGTCCCAGCTACTCAGGAGGCTGAGGCAGGAGGATCACTTGAGCCCAGGAGTTTGAGGTCACTGTGAGCTAGGCTGACACCACGACACTCTACTCTAGCTCAGGCAACAGAGTGAGACTTTGTCTCAGAAAAAAAAAAAAAAGATATTTTCAAAGATAGCTTACACATTAAGATTTGTTTTTCTTAAACATAGCTAAAAGTGAAATAGCCAGGAAACATTTTATAGCACAAATGCCTCCTAATAATATAATTATGCAGTCATCCAGCTTATCTTTTGCCCAAGAAAAGGAAAGACATTACTCCAAGCCATTTCAGAAGGGGGGGGGGAGACAGAGAGAGAGAGAGAGAGAGAGAGAGAGAGAGAGAGAGAGAGAGATTGATTATCCACCTGTCTCCCTATATACTCCAGCAAAGGAGACTCAAGGAAATGTTTCCTGGAAGGGAGTAGCAAGTGACAGGAATAGGTTCCAAGTCTCTGTTTTCTCATCTGCATTAATACAATGACGAGACTGAACCTGATCAACTACAGGATCCTGCCCAGCCTGACACTGTGAGCTTGAAGGCAGCAGAATAACAATTTCAATCAAAATCTACAGACCAAGGAGGGAATTAAGAAACAGCTGGTGGAAGCCAGGGCTCGCTATGGCAAGGGTCCAGTACTAAAGGGGTGTGGACGGATGGGCCTATAGAAAGAGCCACCAGGGAAGTCCCGCAGTGGCCAAGGTGAGGGCCCACATGGGGTCCGAGCTGTGACACTCCTTCACAGCAATCATTCCTAGGTGCAACAGAACAGATCTCTGGAGAAAAGGTAGCCCCAGTCTAAAAGCCAGGGCCCAGGTTTTGGCTGAGACAAGACAGTGTGAACTAAAATGCTCAGCCCCTACCAGCTGACTGAATGGACCCCCTCATGGCCAGAGGAATATTCAAGGGCAAAGTTGCCTGCCAGGAGGAGGGAGGTCAGACAGGCCTTATCATGCCCCCCTCCCTTCTTGGAGACTTCCTTTGTAACCCATTAACAGGCCTAAGGGTATGCAAGACAAACCTGCAGGCCCTCAGTTTGCAACAAATGGTGGCTTATCTCTGGTAAACAGTTTATGTTAAAACATTTCAGGTCTTTAGACAAAGCTTCATGTCTTTAGCCAATTACAATCTAAAGAATCTTTAAACCCACCTATAACCTGTAAGCCCCCCCCCCTTGGAGATGGCCCTCCTTTTTGGGCCAAACAAATGTATGCCTCCCACACATTGATTGATGGCTTTACCCATAACCCTTGTCTCTAAACTGTATAAAAAACAAACTGTGACCCAGCCACAGCGAGTCCACTTGCCCAAGGCCTCTTGGCAGTGGGTCCGGGTCATGGTCCTCAAATTTGGCTCAGAATAAATCTCTTTAAAATTATTTTGCAGACTTGGCTTTTTTCCGTTGACAACAGCAAGGAGTAGACTACATTCCTAGTGAGTGCCCCCACAGCAGGACTCAGGACACAGATGGCCCCAGAAGAATAAGTGTTTGGTGAGTAGGGAGGAAAGCAGAGCAAGCCTTCCAGCTTTCCATAACCTTACAGAAAGGGAAAGTTGCTGGTTTCTCCTCCCTCTAATCCACATCCTGCCTATATAGTCTCTGGCTTCCTACAATTTCTACCAAGAATTCTAGAAATTCCTGCAATCATGTTCAAATGTTAGTTCCTACCCAGACAACGTGGCCTCTTTTTATAACATCCTTCAACCTTCTATGCCTCTGAGTTGGGAAGGAAAACATAAATTCTAAGAAGTCAAGACTTGAAAAACCCCTAATTGGGCAGGCTCCCACCCCTGGCAGCATTCCTTTCCTCCCATCCCTACTAAGCCTGAATTCATGTTCTCCTGGAGCTGCGGTGGGTCATTACAGAAAACATCAATCACACCTAAGACCCCTGACACGCTAACTCGGAGGAGGCATAAACTGCTCATCCCCACGGAGTGAGTTCCTGCTCACGGATGACAGACACATCCCATGGAACAAGCTGCCATTCGTCATGTCCACTTTGCGCGAGCTGCTGTTTTATGTCTCCTCATCCCATCCGGCACCACGGTTTTGTAGTTTAATTAATAGCGTTCAATAACAACATTTGTTGCTGGCATTAAGACAGATTTTAGGTAGCAGCTGTCAGCTTTGAAAATTGACATTTTTGGGGAATATGAGACTAGCCCTTGCCAACCTCCGCTATGGCGTCTAGATTCTGAGAGAGACATTTTATTTATCTTCTCTCACTCAAGGGCAGACTTCAGGGTGGCTGAAAAGTGAATCTTCACACCTACTAGAAGCTGAAAATCTGAGAGGGTATAAAGTCCATATTGCAAAATAACTCCACGTGTGGTAAATTTATACAACACACTAAGTAGAATTTTTGCCGTCTTTTCTATTGACGTGTTTATGGCAAATCCAAACTCTTATTTTATCAGAAGGGCAAACTTATTTTTTTCATATGTTGTTAGGTACCCAGCAACCCACAAAAACATATGGTTTTAGTCTGTCAAATATCTTCATAGTTTTTTTTTCTAATAATAGAAAAGTGAAGAAAAGAAATACTAGCTCACTGTAAAAAAAAATTTGTTTAATAATAAAAAGAAGAAAAAAGTTATCCCTAATACCACTGCTATTATAAGTTTGGTTTCTTTCCTTTCAGGATTTTTTCTATGTGTAAACACACTTATATTTTATTTTTAAAATGTAATAATTCTATATATACAATTTAGTTACCTCTTTTCTCCTCACTTGATTTAAAAACACATGCCAATGCAGAACCTAACTAAACAACAAGTCACGAAATTAGCTGATGTTGCTGCCATTTACTCTCCCAAAGCCCAACATTAACAGACACAGGAAAGAAAACATTCAAGAAAGGAAGGACTAAGAATCAGGATTCAAAACCTTGGCTTTATAGTTTTACTGAAAATGTTCATTGACCTGGGCCTGAATCCCATCCGCTGCTTCCTGTGTTACAAGTACTCAGTGAACAGTTTATGGAATTAATACAAATGAAAGGCCAGAAAGTGGTCACCATGGTCCCTTCTGCTACAACAAGAAGACTGTCACTATGTCATAGACGGATTGAGAATCAATGTATGCAACCATCACCTTAACAACCACCTAAAACACAAGCAAGCATTTCACGTTTTTTTTTTTTTTTTTTTTTGAGACAGAGTCTCACTTTGTTGTCCAGGCTAGAGTGAGTGCCGTGGCGTCAGCCTAGCTCACAGCAACCTCAAACTCCTGGGCTTGAGTGATCCTTCTGCCTCAGCCTCCCGAGTAGCTGGGACTACAGGCATGCGCCACCATGCCCGGCTAATTTTTTATATATATATCAGTTGGCCAATTAATTTCTTTCTATTTATAGTAGAGACGGGGTCTCGCTCTTGCTCAGGCTGGTTTTGAACTCCTGACCTTGAGCAATCCGCCCGCCTCGGCCTCCCAAGAGCTAGGATTACAGGCGTGAGCCACAGCGCCCGGCCGCATTTCACGTTTTGATGCATAACTCTCAGCAAATAGACTCTAAAAGTCCCGTGTCCTTGTGTTGGTCCCTTTCTAACAGTAGGAATTATTAAAAACTGAAGAGAAAACACCAACATACTGGGAAAGACATTGTATTTATATAAGCTATCACCGACAGGATTGTTTAGTTTCATCTTTTAAAAGGAAGATTATAAAGTGCCTATGATAAGTTGAATTTTTTATACTAAAATATAACAAAAAAAAACATAAACAAAGAAGTAAAGGCTAAATATGAAAAGGTTACTTACTGTCAAAGGGAAGCTTAATTATCTGTGAAAAATATGCCCAGAATAGGTAACTAACCATTTCTATCCTTGACTTTTCTCCTTCTAGCAATCTTTTAAACTTTTTAAAGGTGGTATGACCCCCACCATGAGCATCTGAAATACAGCCCATTTATATGTCACACCTACTTTTGAAGGAGATACCATGACTACTTAACAACAGCATCATGAGTTTTAGCAGAAAAAGGACATTTCCTGTCTTTCCTGTACCATGCACAGAATGACCACATATGCAGCACTTTGCATTCTTTCCGTCAACAACAAAACTAATACTATTTCATTTTGATCAGAAAACTACCAGGACATTTTGGCACATACTATCTCTTCCTCACTTTGGGCTCCCATTACCTCTATAATACTGTAGCAACTACTACTATTCAGCCACCTTTTAAAGGTAATCATTAGGCAATAGAGCTGCAGCATACCATATTTTTATGTTATTAATATGAAGTTCAAACATCAAGAGTTCATGCTTTAACACTACCTTTTTACTTTTAGCTATTTTCCTGCTTCCTCAGGTGGTATTTGTTTTGCTGCCTCGCAACTGCTGAAACTTATTTTAATTCTTTTCCTGTAATTTTAAAGTCTGCAAAAATGACCGTAAGTAACTCTCCAGACTTACCATGAATATGAGATGCATGCAATCAAAAGGCCAGTACCCAGCCAAGTAACCAAGTTTTCATCTCTGTACAGGTCTTGACCAAGGTTGGGTACACAGATGGTAACATTCTTCCCATGTTCATCTAGAACTTGTAAAGAAAAAAACAAACTAATCACAGTCAAATTAGAAAAGTCTATTGTAACTCACAGAAGCATTACTTTTGGGAAAATGCCAGGTAGCTTTGGTGTCCCCCTTTAGAACAATGAACATTTATCACTGGAAACTTCTACTCTATAGTCTGCTTCCATGCAGACTGGACTTTTGCTATTTCAAAGAACCACTCTCCCATGTCACCACCACACACTTGAAACAAGACCCTCAGATTCTAGCTCAGTGCATTGATTTTTGTATCCTGACACTATACTTAATTCATTTATCAAGTCCAAGAGTTTTTTGGTGGAGTCTTTAGGGTTTTCTAGATATAAGATCAAATTATCAGTGAGCAGAGATAATTTGACTTCCTCCTTTCCAATGTGGATGCCTTTTATTTCTTTCTTTTGCCCAATTGCTCTGGCTAGGACTTCTGTCTTCAATAGGAGAGGTGATGGTGGACATCCTTGTCTAGTTCATTTTTAGAGAGAATGCTTTCAACTTTTCCCCATTCAGTGTGATGTTGGTTGTAGGTTTGTCGTATATGGCCTTTATTACTTTGAGGCATGTTCCTTCTGTGCTTAGTTTGTTAAGGGTTTTTATCATGAAAGGATGCTAGGTTTTATCAGATGCTTTTTCTACACTTATTGAGATGAACATATGGTTTTTGGTCTTCATTCTATTTATATGATGAATCATGTTGATTTGCATATGTTGAACCATCCTACCATCTCTGGGATAAAACCTACTTGATTATGGTATATTAGCTTTTTGATGTGCTGTTAGCTAAGATTTTGTTGAAAATTTTTGCATTTATGTTCATCAGGGATATTGGTATAGTTTTCTTTTTCTGTTGTGTCCTTGTCAGGTTTTGTCTATCAAGGTGATACTGGCTTCATAGAATGAGTTAGGGGAGTGCCCCCCTCCTTGAATTTTGGAAGTTTCAGGAGGATTGGTAGTAGTTCTTTTTTGTATATTCGGTAGAATTTGACTGTGACTCCATCTGGTCCTGGGCTTTTGTTCTTGGGAAATTTTTATTACTGATTCAATCTTGCTACTCATTATTGGTCTGTTCAAGATTTCTATTTCTTCCTGGTTCAATCTTGGGAGGCTTCCTGATAAATTTCCAGGAATTTATCCATTTCCTCTAGGCTTTCCAGTTTGTGAGTGTATAGATGTTTACACCAGTCTCTGACGATCTTTTGTATTTCTGTAGTATCACTGTTGTGATGTCTTTTTTTTCATTCTGATTTTGTTTATTTGGATCTTCTCTCTTCTTGATGAGTCTAGCTAGCAGTTTATCAATTGTTTATCTTTTCAAAGAACCAACTTTTCATTTTGTTGTTTCTTTGTATTTTTTTAAGTCTGTATTTTATTTAGTTCTGCTCTGATCTTTGTTATTTCTATTCTTCTCCTAGCTTTGGGTTTGGTTTGTTCTTGTTTTTCTAGTTCCTTAAGGTATGATGCTACATTGTTAATTTGTGATCTTTCTACTTTTATTGCTGTAAGTATTGAATACTATAAACTTCCCTGTTTCTACTGTGACTTAAGTAGTCTTTATTCTTAGATTAATGAAAAATGTTTTTTTAAAAAATGTAGTACCACCTGAAATTAAAAATAAAGTGTTTTATGTTTCTAATTGATACCTTTAAAAAAATACTGTAACAAAAATTTCACTCAATTAAAACCGGAAATTCACATATAAGCAATCATAAAGGAAAATCTTAAAGAGTTAAGACGGGGCTTAAAAAAAAATTAAATCCAGGATAGACTATACTTACTGTAAGATCTACAATTATATCACTTTCCACTATTACTAGGTATAAGGACAAGACCATAAATAACACACTTATATACCAAAACTTTCAAAATCATCATTGTGGCTGGGTACGGTGGCTCACACCTATGATCCTAGCACTCTGGGAAGCTGAGGCAGAAGGATCGCTTGAGCTCAGGAGTTTGAAGTTACTATCAGCTAGGCTGATGCCACAGCACTCTAGCCCGGGCAACAGAGTGACACTCTGTGTCACAGGGGAAAAAAAAGAAAAAATCATCATTGCATTAGGTTTCCAAATTAAGAGGAAAAAAGCTTTAATTTTCTTAGAGCCTAAATTTATTTGATTTGATTTCTACAAGCTCAAATATACCCAAGCATACACACATTTATATACACTTATGTGTATGTGTGTATATGCATGTACATCTATTTATTTACATGTAAATATCACAAAAGTGATAAAGAGAGAAAAAGTAGCTTTGTGTAGGTTACTAAAGTGGCAGAATCAGGCTATAAACCTAGGCAGTCCAACTTCAAAGCCCATGTTCTAATTACTATGTTCTGTTGTCAGTGTATATAAATGTCATTTAAGTTGAGCAATTCGAGGCCATACAGGCAGTAAACGGTGGGTCTGGGCTCAGATCCTGTCCCCTGCTTCCCACTCCCCCATGTGCTTTCCACTCTCTCTGTTACTTTATTACAGTCAGAAAAATGACCACCTGAAGAAAAGGAAATCAATAACCAAAACAAATAATAACAAAATAATAAAAACAAAATAAACAAAGCGAAACAAAAATGTTCCTTGAAAACACAGAACAGCAAAATGCAGACGGGGCCTAAAAACAAACTCAACGGCCCACCTTTACTCACGTCTTTCCTACACATCAGAAAGACTCAAAAGAAGGAATTTCTATTTTTATAGCCCAATTTAAAGACTTCATATCATGAAAAAGTCTAGATCACCTCTACTGTGATTTACTGTGTCTCTAATATTTAAAGAGCAGCTCATTCCTCCACACATGAAAATATTCACATCACACATACGCCCCCCCAAACAAGGCTGGCTTACCTACATCTACAGGTTTGCTGGACAGGGCTGAGAAAGTGAGGTAGGTGACATAGCAGCTTATGAGCCCTGACTGCAGGAGCCCTGAGTGCGGCTGCCCTGGAAAACAAGGAGAGGAAGACTGAAGGCAGCTTTTAAATGTGAGCGATAAGAAAGCATATGTCTCAAAAAAATAGATCCCTCCTCCCACAACAGTCCTCAAATTTGAGTGTCTACCATTAAAGGAAAAAAAAGAGGTTCCTGTCAGATAACATTAAACAGATATTAAAGGGAGGGAGTCATACACTGGGCCTAACATGGCTATTTTCAGAGATGCCAACACCTTAACAAACCTACAGCTATACTTAAACATATCAGCTAGTGTTTCTGTGGTTCATAACATTAGTTCTTAAATCACAAGATCAGAAAAAATTTACTATCATGATTTATAAGATCACTTAGTTTAGTGGGTTAAATGGTAAGACAGATTCCCTAGAGCATTTGTTCTAGATTCTACAAGGTCATCAGACACAGTCTATAACAAGGCAAAAAGCTCTTATCTGTCAATGGACAAAAAAAAAACCTTTGGGAACACTGATTAAATACAAGAGCTGATCCGGGTTATTAGGAAGGCCATGGGGCTCAGCATTCATTGGGAGAAAAGCTTACAAGTTATAATGTATAAATTAAACTAAGAGTTTAGATTGTTCAGAGTAACCAGGATGACAGGGGATGTCTCTTTCTTTGGTGAAATTTTCAACCACCTATAAACATCAAAGGATTTAGTTTTACCCAGTTTTCCCTCTGGTCAAATTTGTTTCCAGAATCGTCATTATTAAATTCTAATTACCACTAAGGGTATATGAATAGACCCTTTTAATGTTGCCCTTTGGCATGAGACTAAGACTTACCTTAGCAACTAACGGCATTAAACCAAATATTTAAAAATATTATGGCTATTTGAAAAGATTAGATTTAACCCAAAGATTTTAATCTAAAAACCAATAGTTCGCTTTAAGAATTCTTAACTGATCAATTAAAGGGATTGGGAAAATAATACTCCCAATTTCAATAGTGGACTTGAAATTTTTAGTGCAGAAAAACTTTTTAAATTATTTGCTGTTAGTTATCTTTTAAAACCACTATTTTAGAAAGGATTCAAGAGGGCTATGAATTTATTGGCTATATTTGCCTTTTCCTACCTAGAAACCTGTATATCATGCATTTTCATCACCTATAGAATAAGATATCTACAAGAAACATCAGACAAAGGATATCTCTCTCTCTCATCCCAAGGACAGTATACTGCCTTAAGAGATCAAGAGTAGCTGATAAATGACTGTTCACTAATCTACTTTCTAAAGCACTTTTTATATCCCATTGTCTTTCTTTTGCCTTTGAAACCAACCATGAGCAAGGCCAGGCTCCTGTGTTGCTGTTGACTTCACTAAGGAAGAACTTGGGTGTAAGGAAGGCTGGTTCATTGGGCCAGCTACTCTCTGAACCAGGATCAGATTCCCTGCTAAATAAACCACAATGTCCACAGCCTTGAGTGAAAGATGACCCCGGAAACAACTCCTTTGAAGCCCTCTCATTCAAGTTTTATACAAAGATTACAGGTAAGCTCATAAACACTGAGCTTGACATACACTAAGGGCATTTCGCATTTAAAGGCTCTATGTGGTACACTATTTAATAAATGCACTATCTCCCTATTCACCGTCTTCCTAAGTTCAAGTCTTTTGAGGTGTGCTTTGGCAATTGCACCCAGCCCAAGCATGGACTATGATGGCATTGAAGCCCCCTTTTCCGACTGTAGACCTATCCACAGTAAATTAAGAAATGACCCCAGTTTCCAAAATATCCATTGGGTTCGCTCAAAGACACTTACAAAAAATATAAATAAGAAAGAATGGGGAAAAAAACATGCTTACGCTCTTGGACCCAGGGTGAGATGGCTACTGCTGAGATAAGCAGACACAGGCCTCCATTGACTCCCAGGAAAATTTTGTTTTCCGTGCAGCCGTCTTTTTGTGTATAGAAAACTGCCATCAAAATCAATCCTCCAGTGGCGACGGAATACATCACGAGTGTCGCCAGGGCCAGAGAGGCGTACCACAGCTTGTTACTGGCTGTGCCTGCAGTCCTGTTTCTCCAGGAAGCGGGAAAGAGGGACAGGAGGGAAGACAGGTCAGTGAAGCCTACCATTTGGGACAACATTAACCATCCCTCAGGTCGTGACTGATGCTGTCAGGCCCCAGGACTCAGGCCGGCGTCACCCAGCTGCCCGGAAGACACCTCGTTTTACCAATGTTTATATGCTCCGACAAAGCTAGAAGGGGTCTGGTAAATATGCAAACTTCTTGGTCCAGGCTTAGAATTTTCTCTAAACATGGAGAGAGCTCCATTTTCCGACTCAAACGTATTCATGAACTAAAATGAATACTGTCAACCCACATAAGTGACTGAGGCAAGAGTCCCCATCAATCGAGGTTTACTGAGCCAGAGTTTGAGGTCATGCCCAAGAAAACATAAGTCACAGAATCGTCTGTGGCCTGTGCTCCAAGAAAGATTTCAGGAGGCTCAGTATTTATACATTTCTTTAAAGAGGAGAAGGAAGGCAGGAAAAGGAGGGTAGGTGGTGAGCATTCCCTAGATTTGAATTAATGCCAAGTAAACCTAAGTTATACATAAGATAAGGTAAACATTCAAAAAGGGAGCAAAGGAAGAGTTAATTATGTAAATTCTCAGCATAGGGAGAGGAGAGGAATGATAGATCTCATCCTATCTTTGCTTTGCACCTGGGAAAAGCAGCTTGTCATTGACATTATCAGTGTAAAATTTAACAAATCTCGGATCCTGGACAAGGAGTTAGGTTTAGGCTGCAGACCTAAAGATACAGTTGACGTGTCCTTGTTTATGGGCGGATATACATCTTGAAAAGGTTAGGGGCCAGCAAAGAGTTAATTTATGAGCAATTGGTGAGGGCAGCCGCAGGGAGGCACAGGAGGCCTCTCCTCTCGTAGGGGTCTGGCTGCTGTATAGCACCTAGACAGCTGTCTATTCGGTAAAAGGACAGCACTGCTGCCTGACTCAAGTCTCCAGGCTTCACTTTCCCTTTGGTGCATGATGAGTTTCGGTGGTCCTGAGGCCTTTTACTTTCCTTTCCAACACCTACAGACTTTATTCTAGCTTCTCCATTCTGAATGTGAACTACCCTGGGACAGTTTCGGGTAGTATTAAGAAGCTCCTCACTGGGGTTCTCTTCGAGTGTTCTCTACAAACGCAGAGCCCAGGAGGGCCACAGTCTTGACCCCAAGTGCTGTAAGTGGCTCTTGCTGGTACCCACCTTGTCGTTAGGGAGAAGGAAATTAACTTCACTCAGAACCAGATCCCTGGACTGAAAAGGATGACCCGTAACAGTGCTACTTCTCCAAAATAACATCAGGAAATATTAAAGGAAAATTTGAAATTGAAAAAAAAAAGTTAAACGATCAAGAGGAATAAGTTCTGGTGATCTGCTGTACAGTACGGCGATGATGGTTAACAGCAGGTCTTGTATATTTAAAAATAGCTAGAAGAGGGGCTTTTGAATGTTCTCATCACAGAGAAATGACAAAAGCATGAGGTGATGAATACGCTAACTACCCCGATGTGAATGTTATACGACATGCATGTACCAAAACGTCAAACTGTACCCTATAAATATGCACAATTATGATGTGTCAATTAAAAAATAAAAAGAACCCAAAAAATGGAGAATAAAATCAGTCAGAAAAAGGGTAATGGGATGTATAATAATGAAACTAAAGCAAAGGATTAAAGTGCTTTCTAGTTTCCATTAATATTAATAAAGGGATAGGACAAATAAGTGGTTTAAATCTACAGAAATTGTCCCGAACAAAGAAAAGAGTGTTCATAAATGCTAAATGAAGAGGACAGAACCGCACTAGGGAGAATGGATTGAAAGAATCACTGTCCTCTGCCTTATGATTAAATTGCTCTTTGTAGCCACATTCTCCCAAACCTTCCTTTCAGAGAAAGCAACTTGCTTAATGTCTTCACAAAACTGGAAAGGGTTCAAGCAACCCAGCTAAAATGTTTTAATGATGAAAAAGTCACTGCAGCCAGAGACCGAGAAAATAAGGAGGAAAGGCCAAAATGATAATGACCATCATATTCCTGAAACCGAGCCAGGCACTTCAGTGACCTCGGAATTATTCTAACATAAAAGGCAAGCTAAGGAAATGAGAGAAAATGAGATTTTAAAGGCGGTTGGGGGTGGAAACCTAAGAGCCAAATAATAATTGATGACAGGAGACAGCATGAATTATATATAAAAAGGTAAACACTGCTGGCTGTTGCGTGGGGGGGGACCAATTTGTTCTTTACTAGTCTTTTCAGTTATGTTATTAGTATGCAAAGGACTTTCTTATAGTCAATTTATATTTATCGCCTCAGAGGCTTGTATTACCTAACTGCTTAATGTCTCCACTTGGAGGTCTAATCAGCATCTCAAACTCAGCACAGGCAGGCTCAGTAACTTCCCAATGTTCATACCTCCTTCCCTCCATCCTCAAACCTGTTCTTCTGAAATCTTCCCAACCTCAGACAACAGCAAGTCTATTCTTCCAATTGTTGGGAAGAAAAGGTTTTTTTTTTTAAAAAAAAACAAAACTGTAGTCACCGTCCACTCTCTGCTGCTCTCCCTTCTCCCACCCACTTCCACCCAGAGCCATCTTCAGAACATACCAGAACTACTAACTACTGCTACCACCTAGTTCCAAACTACCCTCCCTCACCTGGATTATCTCCCACTGGCCCCTTGTACCGCTGACCCCCGCTAATCTTTCTTCCATCTAAAACACAGATTGTATTTCTCCCTTTCCAAACCCTCTGGTGGCGTCCCAGATCACTTGAAAACCTAAGCCTTTACACTGGCCCCTGAACCCTTTGTATTGTGATTTCAATTTTGATACAGCACCAACACTTCAAACCACAAAATTTGGGCTAGAAAGGAAAAAACACATCAAACATTTCGTCCAACCACATCCTTTTACAGTGTGAGAACCGAAGTCAAAGGGGCCAATGGATGTACCCCACTGTGAAACAGCAAGCTAGAGAATGAGGGACACTAAAATCTGAATTTTCCCAGTTTCCAGGCCCATGGCCTTTCTATCCTACTCTTTTGGGGATCTTCTCCTTCTCAAGAAGTTTACAAAGAAAGAAAAGAAAGAAAAAGTACTTTAGTATTAATAGTTCCAGCAAGCATATTTTCTAGACTTGTAAACAAGAGTCTCTGATAAAAAACACAGTAAAAAAAAAAAAAAACCCACCAAATTAGATAAATTGAAAGAAAAATAATATTAGTGAGCTTCCTAGCTTATTCCTAATTATACACAGACAAACCAAACATAAATATTTTGACAAAGGGGATTTTTGTTGGGATATAGGCCTCAAAGTCTGGGTAATAGCAATATTATTTGTTGCAAAGCTCTTAAGCCATTCATATTGAGTGGTTTCTAGGAAGTTTTTAAAGCAACCAAAACTCTTCTAAAATTCCTGTTAAAACTTGGCATCATCAATTAGTCCCAGCAAATGGCTTCAGAATCAAAACATTAAAGTCAAAGTGAAGTAGCACAAGTATTCTCAAGGGAACATACTATTTAATGGGCAAATCCGGCACTCAGCATCCAAGATGTTAATATTTTACCATGAAGTTTCCTATTTGAAGTATATTTGTGAAAATATAAGGATGATGTATTTCTTCTCTAATAAAAAAATTCAGAGTGAAAGTACTTCAAGAATTATCATGGAGGCCAGGCACAGTGGCTCACGCCTAAAATCTCAGCACTTTGAGAGGCCAAGGCAGGAGGACTGCTTGAGGCCAAGAGTTCAAGACCAGACTGGGCAACATAGTGGGATCCAGTTTCTATAAAAAAAATAAAAAAAGAATTGTCAGGCATAGTGGTGCACACCTGTAGTCCCAGCTGCTTGAGAGGCTGAGGCAGAAGGTGAGCTCAGGAGTTTGAGGCTGCAGTGAGCTCTGGTCCCCAGCCTGGGCAACAAAGCAAAACATTATCTCAAAAATAAATAAATAAACAAATAAAATAAATCATGGAAAGAATGAAAATTAATCAATTAAAATTCATTTCCAACTTATTGTTGGTATTTCTTGTATACAACTGAGAAAATAGGGTAACTTAAAACCATAGTCACCCATTTGGCTTATCTTTAGGAAAACTCTGCTGCCTCAAAATAAGATTTAGTAGAGACATATATTACTAGCTTTCAAGGAAGACTCAAAAAGCAGAAATTGTACAATAATTTATATGAGAGCACAACTCAAACCTGGAAATCTGATAAATGTAGAGATTAAGATAAAAAAATACTAAAACATATCTGGAGTGCTACTTGTATGACTATTCAATGTTTTATAAATCTTTTAAAAACTGGGCACATTTGGCTGTGCTTAATCCAGTATTTACCAAATAATAAAATGATTAACACTGTCCTTTTGTTCATTCATCCCAGCAACTACAACTAGATCTCATGATTTGCTCTTTAAAACCAAAAGAAAACTACCAAGCTGACGTACAGATTCACAATAAAAAGTACTTAGAGAATTTAGACAGTGTGTTTTGTTTTGTCCAGGATAAAAATAAAATCCACATTCACATGGCACATTGATTTTTTTTCAAAATTCAGTATACAGTAAAATGCCTATAAAATATACAAAACAATAAAAGCTTTACTGAGTACAACAAGCAGTTATTTTTGTTTTTATAAGTAAAGAAAGTAAAGCAGAGAACAGTTAAATCCTTTGTCCAGAATCACACAGAGTCAATCTGGCCTTAGAACTTAAGGGTTAGATTCTTGTGTAGTTGTCATTTCTTCAATGTGGCTTAGCAAGAAATAAAACTAGCTACTAGTACTTCCCATTTAGCTTAGGATATGAATTCTAGTTTCAAGGCACTTAGAAAAAGTATATCTTTTTAAAAGGCAAGATGGTTTCATAAGATAGCACAACAGATCTTCCTGAGGAAGGGGTCCTTCTTTCCCTTTGGGAAGTTGAGAAGAAACAAAAAATTTTAAAAAGGAAAGAACTATTCTATCTCATACTTTGCAGAAGATGAACGTTCAGCTCCAAAGTACGGGTCTTGTTTTTGTTTTTTGTTTGTTTTTAATCTCACAAGGGTAGGAGCCTAAGAAGAAGTCTACACAACTTTTCGGTCACCACAAAACCCACAGACCCAGGACGGAAGGTACAGGCAATGGGGCTGCATGTGGCTAACTTACACCACCCAGTTGACTCAAAGCCCAGACAAGAGGGTGGATTGGGGTCAAAAAGTGAGAAGAAAATAGGTGCAAGAAGGAAGGGTTAAAAAGGAGAGAAGAAAGTACTGGAGAAGAGTAAATGAAGAGGCCCAAAAACCAGGCATAAAGAGAAAATGCCAGCAAAAATCGTATTTGGTATAAACAGGCTGCTAATTCCTGGCAGAGTAATTCAGAGAGCCTTTATCAGCACTGTGGGCAGTTTCTCTGAGTCAGTGAGTGAGTTCACTAGGAAGCTTTCAGTACGGGCACATACCAGTTCTTGTTCCACTTATGTGCAAACTCCACGATCAGGAAGAGCTGGATGCCTATGAAGAGGAAGCCTCCAACGGCTCCCACGTAACGCCAGGCTGCAAAAGACCATTGAAACGGCAAAGAGGTGAACTTCCCATGTGACTGGCGCAGAATAGAATAACCACAGCTAATTTTTTACTGAATGTTCATTGCACCTGTTAACGCATTTCATTCCCACACAGCCAAATAAGGTGAATATTACTGTTATACTCACTTCACAGATGAGAAAAGTGAGAGTCTATGTAAATTTTAAAAAATCTCACAGCCAGGAAAAGGCATAGTTGGGATTTGAACACAGGCTGTCTGGTTCCAGAGTATCCAAGCTTAACCTCCATGCTACAACTGCCAGATATCCTAACAGATGCAGTAATTAATAAAATCCATGATGATCCACAACTTAAAGGCAAAAACACATATTGCCAGAAAAATCAAAGGTTCTAATTTTATGGGGTTAAAAAATCATCAATGTCCAGGGAGGAAATGAGGCTCAGACTAGGGGGACAAGAGCTCAGGTCTACTGGCTGTGCCACAAAGGAGCTATAACCTTGGATGAACCATGTCACATGGGTGACAGCTTGTCTATGAAAATGACTGAGCCAGACTAGAGTACTTCTAAGTCTCTACTTAGTCTAAATATACTATTCTAATACATAAAAGTATCTCTATGGAGAATTAAGAAACTAGTTAACAGTATTTTAGGTGAAAGCAAGACTTGGATACAACATCATTAAGGAGTATATGGAAAAACTAGCTAGACCCTGATATGTAACTATTTGAGGGACTAAAACAATCTAAATGTTTTTAATACCCTAATTAGGAAAATGAACTCATTCAAGAGTGTTTTAGACCACTGAAAGTCAGGCTTTTGACCCCAGCTAATATGAAGAAGGCTACCCTGTTTCAGCTATGATCAAAGGCTTCATATTTACGAACTTTGGTAGGCTCTATGAATAAGGAATATAATTCAATGCTTCATAGCTTCATGCTTTTCTTATCCCATTATAGTTGCAATAGAATTTTAGTTGCTAAAAAGCCCTATGCTGCCTGGGTTGCTAGATTTTCTGTACAGTGCTCAGAACGAACAAAGTCTCCTGGGCTGGTAGGGTCATGCCAATATGCCAAACTGGTTTTTTCAAACACATTTTAAGTGCTTCATTTTCCCTTCAGACTAATAACCTTAAAATTCTAATTCTTCAGCCAGCAGAATAACAAAGGTCCTCTTACATCTGCCTGGAAGGTCCCAAGAATGGGGCCAGGAAAAGAGGCAGAGCACAGGGAGTGAAGAGGATGAAGGGTGGGCAAGTAAGGCAAGAATTTTTTTTGTAAGCCACAAAAAAATCAGTAATTCAAAATACCAAAGGTATCCCGGACTATGCCTTTGAACAATTTCACCAAATGGGTGAACAAAATAAATATGTACCCAAAATACCCCATTAGTACCGTTCAGAAAGGTCTCCTGATCTGGAATGAAGAAGGCTCCAGAGCACAGGGCCCCCAACAGCAGAAGTTTAAAGAACCAGAAGCTGAGAAGAGGAAAAAAAAAAAAGAGGAAATGTATTTAAATGATATTTAAGGAAGGACATAAGACTTCTTAGAAGGTAAGCAAGTCAATCTCTGATTCTGCCATAGGCAATATTCTCTCCAAACGGAAAGGGAGGAATTAGGTGACTGAAGAACGTCTTTCCTATAATTCAACAGACTCGGTACAGCCTCTGATGGTGCAAAATACCATCTCGCTGCAGGCGAGGAAATAACCTGAGAAGCGGTCTTGATACCTGTCTCAGGTTAAATTTCTCCTCAGGTACCAGGTGTTGCAAACAGGAATCTAGCTCTTTGGCAACTGCGTGGTGACGAGTTCCACCTTCTCCAAAATCAGCCATTTCAACTAGAGGAACAGCAGTTAGAGGATCTGCCGAGAAGAAGGGATCCCGGAATACTGGACTGGAGATAACAGAAGGAGAAAGCTATCCCCACGATCACCGCGAGACTTACCCGTTGTGAATATAAGCTCTACAACTTTTGCTGTTGTGGATTTTCAAGGTCAGCAGACAGAAGATGAAGAAGAAGCAGGCCATTCCAAAACAGACCCTGTACACCGCAGAATACCCCACCAGCTTCTCGCAGGTGTCTCCAGCTTTAATGCCTTTACACATATCTTCAAAAAAAGGAATCTGAGGAGAAAGAGTTTCACAAAGTCACGTGTTAAAATTTGGTGAAAGGGAGGCTGCCACGGAGTGCTCGTTCACTCAGCCTGCAACTAACTCACAGTCCACCGTGGAAATGGATCACTTTCACAAAGAAAAAGACTGAGGAGGAAAATCTACCCTCTAAAGACTTTTTCTTAATTTTCTCTGAATCTTTTGTAAAGATACAGTGCTCACGAAGTACTGGTCAGCCTTTACTTGCTCCAAATGATTTCGGAAATCCAGCAGCAGGATTTTCAAAAATTACACTTGTAATATGTGGGTATATTTTTCTTGAAGTGTGTAAATATGTAGAATAAAAAATGAGAGACTTGCTTCACTATCACCCCAAAATGTCATTCCCCTCCTCTGAATAGTTAACAATTTGGTGGGTAGGGTATTTTTATTAATTCACATATATAAATGTGTGTATACATATACACAACACACACACATACATATTCATATCGTACTATATATGTAGTAGGTATATTCAAACAGCTTTTTAAAATAAGATTGTATGTAATGTTCTACAATGTTTTTTACCAATTAATAAGCCATGGAGATCTTTCCCTATTAATACAAAATACCCCACTTCATTATTTTTAATCACTATACAATATTTTGTAGTAAGGCTCAAAATTGATAACCTTTCCCACACTGATCTTATATTTTGTTCAGGTGGGGTTTTTGTTTTATTTTACTTTGTAAATTTGGTTTTTGATATCACAAACACTGATTCAATAAACATGCTGTGTAACCTCATTGTACATGTGCCACTACTCACATGGGACAGACTCCTGAGCTAGAAATGGAATTAGTGGCTCAAGTAGTACAGGTTGAGTATCCCTGATCTGAAATGCTTAGGGCCAGAAGTGTTTCAGACTTGGCATTTTTTTCAGATTTTGGAATATTTGCATTGTATTACTGGTTGGGCATCCCTAATCAGAACATCCAAAATCCGAAATGCTCCAATGAGCATTTCCTTTGAGCATCATGTTGACACTAAAAAATTTCCGAATCTTGGAACTTTCTGGATTTCAGATTAGGGTTACTCAACCTGTATCTACATTTTTAAATTTCAACAGGTAAAGTCAAATCACATTTTCAAAGGCTACACCAATTTATATCCCACCAATAATATCTGACATTAGTCATTTTCCCAACCTGGGCATCCAATTTAAAGGCAAAAACCCAATATCCTGTTTTAATGTACACCTTTCTAATTACTAGTGAGGCTCAATATCTTTTCTCAAGTTTATGGACATCTGTATTTTTCTCTAAATTCACTGCCAATTGGGTTTTTCCTTGATCCACTGGAGCTTTTTATTTATTGGTCTTAATCTTCTAATGAATGTTGATAATAATGTCATAAAATAAGGATTTAGTCAGTGGTAAAAAAAAAAAAAAAAACTTGTTTCTTATCAACATCAAAGTTGAATACTTTTCAGAACAGAAAATAAGTTAAATTCCAAATATGAATTGCTGTTATTCACAAGAAAAAGATATCACAGACCAAAAAATGACACAAAACTAATGGTAAAACTGAAGTGTGATAAAGAAGAGACTATTGTTTCTTCTCTAGAAAAGATCTTAAAGAAACAATGATAACTGAGGTTATCAGGATTTCCATAACCAAATGTTAACCGAAATAAGAGACTGGGGCAAGAATCTCAATCAATTGAGGTTTATTGAGCCAGAGGTTGAGGTCACACTCAGAAAAACATATAAGTAACAGACTTATCTGTGGCCTGTCCTCTGAGATGTTTCAGGAGGCTCAGTATTTACACATGCTTTAAAGAGAAGGCATGCAGGAAAAGGGGGGTAGGCAGTGAGGCAAAAGGTTACATCCTCCTGACTTTAATAAGAGCCAAGTGAACCTAGTTATACATAAGATAAGGCAAACATTCCAAAAGGAAGTAAAGGAAGAGGTCATTATGTAGACATCTCAGGGTAGGTAGAGGAATGATTGATCTCATCTTGTCTTTGTTCTGCACCTAGGAAGATAAGCTTGTCATTGACATTGTCAGTGTAAAATTTAACAAATTTGAGTTCCTGGACAAGGAGTTAGGCTTAGGCTGCAGACCTAAAGATGCAGTTGATAAGTCCCTGTTTATGGGAGGATATACTTCTTGACAGGGACAGGGGCCAGCAAGGATTTACTTATGAGCAATTTGTGAGGGCAGTCATGCATGAGGCCTTCTGCTGCCTTTTGTAGGGCTCTGGCCAATGTACACTTTGACGCCAGGTTGGGAAGTAACAGCTATTTCTTGGTTAAAAGGACAGCAGTGTCAGATTGAGTGCCTGGCTCAATCTCCAGGCTTAATTTTCCCTTTGGCACAATGAGTTTGAATGGTCCTGAGATTTTTTATTTTCCTTCATGTAAGAAAAAAAGATTGCCATAAACAAAAGGAAGACTAAATATAATTAAAATCCCACTTCCTCTAGTCATTACTACATCTGAATGTGAAACATGTTTTTCCAAACATTCCCAAATAAGCGACTCAGGCAAAAATGCATCATTTCTGAGCCCCTATTACTGTCGCTCCATTTTCAAGAACAGATGTGAAAACCTTGTGAAGAAATGTCCAACATTTTGTTTTCAACAACTTCCTAAAATTGCAAAAAAAATTTTATATCAGAGCAAGATCTAATGCTGTATAGAGAGATGTTACTGCACTTATGTGACTGGGCTATCAAACTAACACATGGTACACGGTTGCCAGACAAAACACGGAATGTCTAGTTAAATTCAAATGTTACATAAACAACATGTAATTTTTTAGTATAAGTGTTTCCCATACAATATAAGGGGCATACTTAGACTGAATATCATGTAGGACATACTTATACTAAAAAAATTATTCTTTGGCAAGAAGTGAAACTCAAGAGAAGGTATTGGGGTTCTGGACACACCACCCCAAAATACAACTGCAGGAGACCAGAATAAAGTATATTTTGGTATATTCTGAGTAGCTCTGAAAAGCTCCCCTTTTATATAAAAGGAATTTACATTTATAGAAGAATTCTACATTAGTAAAATTTCTGTACCAGGAAGAGGGTTGCTCCCCAGGAGATAACTGTTATTAGACTGAGACTTTATCTGCACAATAAGACAACCTTATTTCCCATACATTTTCTCCTGTCACTCTCCCACAACTTAGGTCAACACTCAATCTAGGCCCCTCCCCAGAGGCCCCAAGCCTGTCTTCCTTTGGGGAGTTCAGGATGCCATAGAAGCTTCAATCATCTCACATTTTGTGGGACTCTCATGATTCATACAAAGTTAAAAATGGTTTTCCTCTTATTCATCAGTCTCTCGTCAATTTAAAAAGGTAAACCAGTGCAGGGAAACAGAAATTCTTTAGGTAGAACTCACAGTTGGCAGGACTGGATGGATGCAAGAATGAAGTGAAGGATTGGGGGAGGGTCCATGGGACAAAGAGCAGGAGTTTATTTTTTAACACACAGAGTTTGAGGCACCCTGTGGGCAACCCCCACCCACTGTGGGGCAATCCAGTGAGATCCTCGGGTCTTGGCAACTGCTTCGGACAGCAATCAGGGCTGAACACAGGGAGATAGTTGACACCCACAGGCAGGTAGTGAGAAGTTGCACAAGTACTTTTGGAAGGAATCTGAATTTTTAGCTGTGTTTAATGTGAGTGAGCAACCAGCATAGTTAAAATCTTCAGGTATTAAATAGAGGAGACACATACAAAATGAACATCTCAGATACTCTAGCCCGAAACAAAAGTTAACCTGTGTGAGTAGCAATGGTGACAAGGAGGTGATATTGCTTTAAATCTGTAAAAGCAATATTCATGAAGGAGAACCCACACAACCTCATTCATTAGGCTGCTTTATTTCTATGGGATTTATGGCTCTATAATAACCATTAAATTCTTTTCTTCTTCTCTTCTATCTTCTACTCTCAACAACACCCACTCCTGAACCTGCCCCTCAACATAACTCCACACACTGTCACCTCTTTCATCTACACCAGTCCCTTTTCATCTTTAGACTCTTCTCTACTCCCTGCCCCAAACCCACTTCACTCCTTTTCTTCTCCCTCTAAAACCCATTTCAAGGAGGATGCTGATAGCAGCAGGCCTGAGCTTCTAAGCCATCATCTCCAACAAATCCCCTCCCTTGTTTACTCCAGGCCACCTGGAATGTGCCAGCCCTGGGCCCTCAGCTCTTCAAAGGGTGAGTATGTGGCACCAAAGGTTTCATCAAAATAAAAGTAGGCAAACAACCCCCCAGCTCCAAACACTAACCAAGACCTCCTTTGTGCTCTGTGGGTGACTTAGCACTTTTAGCCTTCCATAGTAAGTGGTGAGTATTTTGGGCAAAGAACCTCCACGTTACAAGCTGGCAGTATTTTAGCAAGGGAAATTTGCTCTGATTAAATATTTGCTGTTCCAAACTCCATCCCAGTTTTGGAAAAAGAAAACACACATCGCATACAGAGTCCGCAGCACAGGGCGAAGAGGCTGTGCCCGTTAAGGGTGTTACCTCTTAAGTCCGGCTCTGGGCATCCAAGGACACAGCCCGTGAGCCGGGCTCACACACTGCGGCTGTGTTATTTCTGTACAGACCTGAAAGCAAGGGCTTTCCTTCTAGTCCTCCAAGCCACAAATTACCGAGCAAGAATAAATAGTTCATGCAGACTTCCAATCCTAACTCGACTGCTGGCTAACCTGGGCAAGTTACACACACACACACACACACAGACACACACACACACACACACACACACACACACACACACACACACACACACACACACACCGTGAGCCTCAACGGCCCCACCTGTAAAATGAAATAGTACCGCCACTCATCTCAAGCGGCTGCCCTGAGAATTACATCAGCTAATCCTGCGAAATGCTTGTGATGAGGAAAACCCCCATCTATTACTTGGCGCACATTAGCCACCTGAGACCCCCAACCCTCACGGAAGGCCTGCATCAGCATAATACTAACCTATT